ATAATTCTCCAATTCCTCGAACTTACAATACAATACACTCGGCGTAAGAATCAATAAACTTTCTCGGCTCGAAAACACGCGTGCCCCGGGAAACGAGTTACGAAGAAATGCAAAGCTAGTTTCGGATGAAAGGATATCCAGGGAAACGGGGACTTAAGCCTCCTTAAGACCGTCGATCGACACGCGAACCACCCGTTGGATTTTCCACGGACCAAACTTTCTCATCCGCTCTCCCTTCTTCATTCGTCACACGTACACGTATACACACATGTAAACTCGTCCACGCATACACACACACGCACGCACACACACTCGTCGAGAAGAAGTGTTTCCGACCGGTCGCCGGCTAATTGCGTTCAACGCCTCGGCTCCGGGGAATTGTCGGCAATTTTTCGAACCTTCGGCAAAACTCTCTTCCACTTCCTTCTCCTCCTTAATTTTCCCTTCCTTTTTTCTTCCTTTTTTTTCTCCCTGCGAGAACTGGGACGCTCGAGTTTCGATCCCTCTTCGTTCGGAAATTCGCTTTACTCCTAGCTGGATAATCCGTGGATGAACCCCGGCTCGAATTCTCGTATTCTCCGCGACGAAGTATCTCTCGTTTCCGATCGTTCGAGCCGAGCACGATTAATAAACAGGGAGGAAAACCTTCGTTCCTCCTCTTCGTCCCCTTTTCTTCACGTTGATGTCCAAGTTGCGCGAGGGGAGAGGATGGCGCGCCAATACAACACCTGCGGACCTGTCCGCTAACTCGAGGTGGAAGGGAGGGGGTGGAAGCTCGATCGGTGGGCCAGTTTTCCCCGAGAGTTTGCTCGGTCGGTATATAAGAAATATCGCGCAAGGAGAATCGCGAATGTCGATCGATCGAGGACCGTTGAAAAGCGGCATTCTACGATCCCCTAACGATCCCTCGTTCGCGTACGCTGTCGTCCTGTTTTGCACACTCCACTCCTGCTTTCTTCTCGCCGAGAGAACGTTTCACGCGGAAAATATGTACAGTGATTAGGGAAAGCGTTTGAAGATTCGATCGTTAGAGGAAAAGTTTTCTAGTGATGCAACAAGGTGTTATCAATTTATAGGGAATTTTTTAGATATATCATTGGTAGTAGACTGCGGATTTTTGTGCAGTTCAGAATATTCAACTAATGGGCGAAATATATAGTATTTTGTAGAACGTCGGTAATTTTGTTATAATCGTGTAAAAATTTTAACGCGAAGAGCATATTACGTGAAAAATATATATTTGCATAAAAATTCGCAATCTAACCACTAGGTATTGTAAGGATATTTCTCCGATTTTCCTTTAAAAAAAAAATAAAATGTTCAAATACTTTCCTAAATCGCTCTCAATTCGATCTCAACAATCACGAACGAGGTCGTACGGAACTACTCGACTCGTAGGCCAATCTTCAGCGCAATATTTCTTCCTTGAAAAATCCAGCTTCTCAGCTTACTTAAAAGAAAAAATAAAAAAAGAAACGATCGCAATTCATCGCACAAAAATTATTCCCAGCCTTAAGGAGGAACAATCAATTTCACGACACGAGTATAACGAACGAAAAACTGTCAAACACGACGGGTAACGAATAACTCAACTCTCGATCGATCGTCGACGGACAATTCGATGATATCGACGCGTCTCCACCCCCGCGAAATCTTTGGCGCTACGACTACGATAGACGTTTTATTGACGCAATCCAGCGGGCCACGGATCCGCCCGTGTTCGCCTAGGTATCCCCCAGGCCGAGACCCAGGCTGGGGCCCTCCCTCCCTCCCCTCTCAATCCTCCTCCACTTCTTCCAG